AATATACTTGTTAGAAATATGAAATTGTGCCTGACTCAGACTAATTAATTCTCAGTAAATAGTTGAGTCTTTATTAAAACAAAGTGAAGTAAAAATGGGTTCACAGAAGTCTAGAATTTTCAGTGAAGAGTAGAACAGCTTTGTGTGCAGGTTTGTCAAAATCGATAACATTGTTAAAAGAGTTTAAATGGTGGCTGATCTCTGCTGTAGATACACTTCCACTGGAGCTGGTCAGGTTTCCAGGGCAGATCTTTACACTTGCAGACTCTGCCGCTGTTTATTATGTTTATCTCCATGATGCCATGAAAACAGCTCTGTTACAGATACAGAGTGCTGGAGCAGAGATGGGAAGGGGCTGTGAATAAAGGCTGCTCACCAAAGAGTGGTTCTTGAGTTTGCTGCTCACCCTGCAGAGTGTTTGTCTGGTCTAGGAACCCAGACTGACACGTCATTATGGTAATTGAGGAGCACACAGTGAAATGTTGACAGAACAATAAAATACTTTGCTGTTAAATTGCTCAAGTGTAGGTTGGAGGGTTGTATCTATGATGAAACTGAGCTCCATTTACACTGACACAGAATAATGAGCTAAGGGGGATTAAAAGCACTAGTCAGAAATAATGCATGACTTTAAAAGAACACTTTTGAATCATATTGCTATAAGGTTAAAAACATAAATTCCAAATTACTGGATTCCTATTTACTTCAAGAGACATGTAAAGTAATTTTTTGAAAGGGAACCTTCATCCACATAAACATAATTCCCAAGTTCAGATGTGGCTTTAACTCTTTGTAACTTAAATTCTCCTCTTCTAACAAAGAGGGTCTGCTGCTGTTTATCCTGACACCCAGACCAATATGCTCAAGGGATTGTTTAGGTCACTTCTAGGATCTCTCTAGAAGGAGGGAGAGGCTTAGCATCACACCAGGCTCCTCTCCTTGCTCTTGGTACCGCAGCCATTGGTCACACTCAGTGCCTTCGGTGAGAGAAGGGGCAGTGCAAGGGCTCAGGGTCAGTGTGCACAAATTCCTCTGTGCCATTCCTTGCTCCTCACTCCCCTGTGCTCTAGCGTGGGTCCCCATGGACCACAGTCCTTGCCCAGGCCTGGATCACCCTCTCCTCCAGTGGCCTTGTTACACCCTCACTCCACCTCCCCACAGAAGCCACCCCTGCAGCCCCAACAGTCCCCAAACCCTGCCCCCGACACTGCTTCCCATAGCAACACCCTAAATGCAGTGTTCTCTTCTCTGCATTTCCTTTTCATTCGGTCAAAGTCTTTGTTTTTATCATGCTTAGTTAGGCTGTGCTTTTCTCAGCTGCATAGTATAAGGGTTTGCTGGCCAATTTTTTCTCAACAATATGTATTTTATAGTTTTTATTTAAATTAAAGGAGAAAAAAGCAGTATCTTCAGATGAATAAGACTTGTTTGACCCAAATGAACATTTTCTTTCCAGTTCTGTCATTATATGTATCACTTCAGCTATCTCAGAGCGTATATCCATCTGAAAAATCTGTTCTAAATGGTTACAGTCATCAGTCTGATGGTTGTGCTGTATAGACTTTAAATGAATTGCATCTAATTTTTCTATCTTCAAGCCATGCTATTCATTCAGTGTTCAAAACTCACTAGAAAGCAGGAAACATGATTAAAAATACAGGTGTTAAATATAGTTCCTTTCAAAAACATTTGCATCTGTTGTGCAAAGTTGGGTGACTTTTTCTATGGGGGTGAAATTTCCTCTTGATACTTACACATTGAAAAAAATTAGAACTGGTGGGACAGGAAAGGGATAGACAGCTTTCCTGGTCACTCCTCTTCTTTTGTCCCTCAAACTTGAGCAGAAAGTTCTGAGAGATGAAAACTAAAAGGAATTAGGGTGTTGGCAAATCAAAAGTTTAGATGTTTTGAAAATTTCAAAACACATTTTTGTGATTTGGTTTATGCTTTTTAACAAAGTAATAATTTGCCAAAAAGAGTTCATTTTATTTGAAAAATAAAACCCTAATGTTTTATTTAACTGTTATAGAATGAAATAATTGTAAAGTGGGGAAGAAGTATGTAAACCCGTATTTTTATTGATTCCAATAATTTTTAGAAAAGCGTTGCTTTTTATTACTTGAATGAGCCCAAACGTTTTTCCTAACTCTACAAGTAGGAAGTAATTAAAATCAATGTATGATTTTAATATTAAGAATTTAAGCATGAATTAAAATGACACAGGTGATGTCACAGTTGGGAAGCTCTTGAAGTGTCAATAACTTCATGTCACATTAAAGTGCCTGTAGCTATATTGGCTTATATTTGAAGCATATTCTTTGGGTTCTCCATACAGACATCTATCCAGAATATGCTTATTTATACTCATGTACAGAGCCTCAGACTTGACATTGGGTTTTAGGATGCATAAGCTGGTTCCTTGCTGTGCTGTTGAAGTACAACTCTTTAGTTATCTATGTTATATTTTCTTTTAAACTGTGGTGTAGGTTTGAAACTGTACCCACGTGGGTATAGTGCTGTTTTTCAGAACTCCACACATCTAAGAGGCAGTGTTTGTTAGGCGCTTTTTATTTATAGATATTTAAGAATAATAGCTTAGTGTGCTTCTAATACAACTACATTTAGCTGCCAGAATGCTGGTTTCTACCTAAACCATCTTTGCCTTTTAGGAAATGCACATTGGTGCTCAATAATGTGTTTGCAGTGGCAGCTGCACTGCTGATGTCCCTGTCCTTGCTGGCTGGGTCGTTTGAAATGCTCATCCTGGGCCGCATCATCATGGGAGTGGATGCAGGTAAGCTTTGGTCCTGCTCTACATGTCTGAAATGCCTGTGCTGGGCACACACTGCAGGTCAGCTTTGGTCCTGCTCTACATGTCTGAAATGCCTGTGCTGTGCACACACTGCAGGTCAGCTTTGGTCACACTCTACAAGTCTGAAATGCCTGTGCTGGGCACACACTGCAGGTCAGCTTTGGTCACACTCTACATGTCTGAAATGCCTGTGCAGTGCACACACTGTCTCCTCTTCCCCTGCCAGAATTTGCTTTACATCAAAGAGGTGTTCCAGGGACTAGCAATAGTCACACTGATTTCACTGGGACAAAATGGCACACTAAGGGCTGGAGGATCTGATGTTTGGAGGAGACACTGGGATGGATGCTCACCACTGCTAACAAAGCTGTTGTTTCCCCACCTTTCCTTTTCCAGCCATGGTAGAGTGTATTTGTTTCCATGCCATGAAAACTCCTTGACTAGGAGAGTTTATTCTGCTATTAACACTGCTTTTTGTTGTGTTTAGCAGTTTTTGGATCCCATGTTAACTGCAGGACTAGGGAAGGTTGGTACTTCATCAGTTGTTCCTAGCAATATGGTGTTCCCAGTTTGAAAGTAAACCATGGAGGCACTGCAGCACCAGAATAACCTGGCAGCTAGAAGGAAGGGTTTCTGCTAATTTTTATCCCAGATTACCATTAAGCAACCAAACTTCTGGAGCTGCGCAACCATTGCCATTGCACTAACCAGAGTCATGCATTTGTTTATTCTGTTCCTGGCTTTAAACAGTATTCCAACTCTTATTTTATGCCTATTGCGAAGAGCTCATTGCAGCAATAAGCCTGTATTGAGAAGAACATCTGCTAATACTGTTTACAGTAAAAATACTCCATCTGAACAATGTCTGCTCTGTCTGACTGATGCACTGGGCTTTTGTTCCCTTACCCACACCCATGTTAACATGATTTTGCTTGCTTTGGGATGAGAAAATTTAAAATATAAAATCTGTTCTGGAGATTCTCATCTCTGAGTAACCTTTGGTGCTCCACATCAAAAAGCAGCCTACACACGTTGGTGTAGATCTGTAACAGATAATCAATCCCATTGTTATTAAATGGTGTGAGACTAATTAGACATGCAGGGAAAATGAATCATGTTATGTATGGACAGATGTAATTCTGTTCCTTGCATGTTTTTATGCCATCCTTGTGAGCAGATTATCACTCAGGCTCCTTAAAATAGAAATTTGTTGCATACCTGGCATAATAGTATGTTTTGACTTAATATATGGGTTTTGTTCTTCTTTTATAGGCATTTCATTAAGTGCCCTCCCCATGTATTTGAGTGAAATATCTCCTAAGGAAATTCGTGGTTCATTGGGTCAGGTCACAGCCATTTTCATTTGCATTGGTGTTTTCACTGGTCAAGTTTTGGGGCTGCCAGAAATATTTGGGCAAGTAAGTATTTAACAGACCTTTTCTATCAAAGAACAGAGGCTTGCTCTAAGTGTCATATTTTCATATTGTGACTGGTTTCTTCACAAAAGTGGAAAACAGAAATATTTCTTTTTTGTTATGAAGCACTTTGAAAAGTAGTTTCCTCCATGTCTTCTACAAGCACATACTAAAAGCATGGCTAAGTTTGGTAGATATGGCTAGCAGGTTCAACAGCTTGAGTGGCTTGTGTGTGTCAATATGCACATCTCCTTTTCCCCCTTTCTTGATCTATTTTTTTTAGTTTCCAGTTCCTTTGGATACCATGGAAATGCGTGAGAGTTTTTTATATTTTTGATCTCTAATTTTTCAGTGTGAGATAGAGCTGAAAAGGCATGGTTATAGTTATTATAAAACCTGAATAGGAAGATGCTTGCTTAGTGATTATAGTGTTCCTTGTAGTGCAGTCCTTGCTTGCCCGGCTTTTAGACTAAGTGATAGAAGAGCGGAGTTAACACACACCTCTATGGAAAGATTATCTATTCAGATAAGAGGTTGTCTTGTTGTCATAGGCTGAGATTAACTTGGTGGCCACTGGATGTCATCATTACTCTGAATAAATGAACTCGAGTTTTGTTCAGGCTGGCAATTGGAAATACAGAATCACACAACGGGTAAGGATGGAGGGAGCCATGCTGGTCATCTGATCTGACCAGGTGTTTTCCATTCAGAGATGATTCTTCAAGGCAGTGTGGAGAAAAGGTCTGCAGCAATCCTCTCACAGTGAAACTTGAACACAGAATCCCTTCTGTCAGCCAGAGAAAGTAGTAAGGGGTTGGAAAGTGAGAGGAGCTTTTCCTTCTCTGTCTATCCAAAGGCAACTCCTTTGTAAATACATGATGCCGTCCTCCCTGACGCTTGTATTTTTGCCTGACCAGCTTTCTTATTCTGTCCCTTTATTCTGTTCAGCTCTCCTAAAGGGAAATGATTTGATACAATTTACCCTTTACGGAAGGATTGATTTCTCCCCTGCCCATCCAAAGCAATAGATTTTAGGGAAAAACTTAAAATAGCTTTTATTGTGTGACTTCAACAGATGTCCCTTCAATTAGCTTGGGAGCAAGTTTATTACAAACAAGCGTATGAAATGTCAAGAGGCCAATTTGATTGATCAGAGTATGGCAGCCCTTATGTAGTAGGAGATTTTTTTAATTTGGGTTTTTGATACATGCACGCACTTTTAAAGTTGAGGTGTCAGGAAAATTCTTATTCCTTGATTTCAGCTCATTATTGCTAGTTTTATTTCTCTTCTTGGCTTCCTTTCATCACTGTTGTTTCTGCTACCAAATTATGGAGGTAGTGTTTCTGTTTCTACAAATTCCTTTAGAGTGAAGTTAATTAATATCCCACCATTAAAGACAGACATAATGTAGGAAGAAATATGCTTTATCTACAGAATTAGTTTTGTCAAGACGGGTAACATCAGCAAGTAAAAGAAGCAAAGTTTTGGCCGATGTGGATCACAATATTTCCAACCAATTTATTGGAGGCAGCTTGAATATTCTAGTTGGGTATGTGGGTGGGTTTTTTTCTTTTCATTTCTCTTGGTTTCAGTCAAGCCAGGATTTTTTTTCCTTAGATTTGTGGGGTTCCCATTGAAACTCCTTCAGTGGGAGTTGGTTTTCATTTTGATGCTCTGTAGTTGTTTGTTTCTCATCAGAATTTGTTGTAAATAATACTACTTACAAAAACTACTCTTCTGTCATAGTTTTATAAGGTTTCTGCTGAGATCTGTCATGTCTATTACTTGTAAATTGAGCAAATATCTAAGAGGTTGTTAACCATTGTATCTAAGCAGGGATGGTTTTGAAGAAAGGAGGGACAAAAACAGATGAGAGTCTTGCTGGAAGAGAATCTTTGAAAAAGGGATGGACATACAAATGGCTGTCAGCATGACTGAGGTCCTTCTTGTAAGAGGAGGTGACAGCAATATTGCTTGTGTGGTCAAGTCAACAGAGGGAAGGGACAGGACTGACTGCACCTTGTTAACAAAGGAACAAGGAATAGAGTGGCCTAATCTCAAAGACAATATGGCTACAATAATGGTTTTTTAAATAAATATTGTGTGAATAATTGCATGCTGAAATTCGTCAGAGTGATGTTTGGAACAGACTCCCAGCTGAAGTAATTTGAGCAGAAAATTAAAATTTTAAATTGGAGCTTGATGCATTTATGTGAATTACATGAGGTTGTTGCCTTAAGTGGTTCTGTAGAAGTCTCTCTGCAGAAAAGGAAAGTGTTTATGTTGGCTGTGGGGCATAGTGTTAACAAGCACTTATTAACAACCTAAGTGATGATTTCCTCTGTTATCAAATGCAAAAGTGTTTCTTAAAATGTAAAATTGTGATAAAAATAGCTCTAAAGCAATGAGTATTACTTGAGGCAACTCAAAAGTCCTTACTGCTTTTTGTATCAAATATGTTAAGGAGCCCTAAACTGATTTTTTAGCAATCTTTCTTTTGTCAACACTGGTCAAGGTGCAGCAGGAGGGATGTGGGCAGCCCCAGGTGCATTGCTGAGGGGCAGTGTCAGCTCTGGCTGAGTTACTGGCTCAAGGCTGGTTGGCTGTTTCCCATTCCTTCAGTTTTCCCAAGCTTTCTATTGAAAGTGCTGAGGATTGGCAATCTTCTCATTTCCTTCTAATACCTTTTCATGCCAGTTCTGTCAACTTATTCACATAATTCTTTTGATCAACTGTTATTTACTCCTTAGTACTTTTCTGTTTATTTTTTTTTTTCACCACCTTCTACAGTGTGCTTCCTCTCCCCCCCCCCTATAACTTGTGAACTTTGTGTTTCAGATTAAACTTCACCTCCTCTAGTAACACAAGCTCTTTAATCTCTTTCTCACCCTATAAACTGTTGTCTCCAATAGTTCCTGGTTTAAATTCAAACCTAGGAGAACAAGATTATACAGCTAACCCAGATGAAATAATACTTTATAAAAAAAGAATTATAATAAATATTTACTGGTTTTCCTGGGAATATTTTGTCTGAAGTATTGCAGAAATGCAATTTTTAATGCAAATTAAATACAATTTAATTCTTTTCTGTGTCCTGCCATATTGGCGTGAACTAGACAAACATGACTATGTCCAATTTTTAAATTATAGTATAAAAGAGCAAATGGAACAAAAAATTTACAATCTAATAAAGACCGTAATACCTAAATACAGGCAATATTTTTGATTCTGGATATATAGAATTTCATTGTATTTGCCTCCAAAGGTACTAATTTTAGAATGTGTTTCTTCATATGCAGTGCTTACCAAGAGTGATTATGTGAGAAAAGTTCCAGTTGTGATAGCAGTCCTCTGCTGCAGTGACTTGATAATCTTACTTGCTTTCCACAGTCCTAATTGCCTCCCATCCAACAAATTGCAGCTATGCTTTTAATTCAAGATTCTGATTCTTATAGGTCTGGAAAATTCCTGAGGCTTGGGAAATTGCACCATGGTAAAGGGGGCTGGTGATCAGAGTACAGAGCACGATGACTTCATGTGCTGGTGACCTGCTTCTGCCCAGCACCCCAACAAGCTTTGTGCTTCTTTTCACATGCTGGCATCTTGTGTTCTGTAAGCCAGAGTCCTTAACTCTTGAGGAAACCACGGCATCCGTAGGTGACAACTTGGTGCAGGTCCACGGGTGTGCAATGATGTTATCTGCTGTAATGTGGGCACTGAATTATTGCTGCTGGCTACAGGATTATTTAATTCAGACCATTTTTGGTTGTACAGCATGTGCAGCTTTCCATATATCTGACTGAAGGAAAAAAACAGATAACAAGATAAGGACAAACTATCTTAGACCAGTCACGTCTTCAAACACTGCCCTTCAGGTATTTCTGTTCTCTCTGTTTCTGTGATTCTGCAATTGAATCACCCAGCCTATTTCTCCTGACAGATTGCTCTTGCAAAGCAAAGGCCAACACACTGTCAGCTTCAGTTTTGAAAGTTCAAATTTACACTTACTGTCTTGGGGAAATATTGTCTGGCCTGATTCTGACACATTCCATGTAACTTTAGGTATCACTCTGGCTAACTCATCTAGTTCCTCCTGCTCCACAGGTTTTCCTTAGCATGGTAACATCTCCTAAACATTGTAAACTGTCTGATTGTCTATTCTATGGCTTCATGTTGTTTTAATGAAGGTGGACTTTAACCTTTCCCTAAATTATAGAGGATTTAGTTTCTGAATCCATTTGCAGTAGTCACAGTATTCTTATTTTCAATATACGTTGGGCTTTAGTATCTCTTTCTGTGTATCAATACCAGAGAGAAAAAAATGTTTCACAGTATGTATATTGATTCAGGACAGGTAAAGCTGAAACAGTTGCCTTTGCCATGCTTTTCTCAGACCTCGGCTTTGAGCCCCTTTTCCTGCTCTTGGTGTGTCAGGCTTTGCCAAGCTGCAGCTGTTTTCCCTGGAGCTGGCTCCAGTGCCTGGCCTGCTCTGGCTGCTTCTCTGACTGAACAGCTGCTCTTCCCATTGGTACACCAATGGACAAATAGAATTTGGTTTTTGTCTCTTTGCTTCACTAGCCCTGCTTTTAAAACCTCAAGTGTTTCTAGGTCATGCAGGCAGGAGCTTGCCTGACTACATGGTTGCATTGTTTCCTAGTGGATAGCATGTTTCCCTAAAAACTTTCCTTGGCTTGCATCCTAAGACTCACCAGGGGAACACTTCCGGAATGAACCCATATGATGTGTTAGTGTTTCAAGGCAAAAAAAAAAAAAAAAAAAAGTAAAGATCCTGATGTATCCATCTCTTGAATGTTGCAAGTAGACTAGGTTTAGTCATTCTGTTATAAAAAGAGTGTAATCAAGCAGTACAAGGTACAGGAGTGAGCAACAATGATCGGATTTGGAAAGTGGCTTCTTGAGGAGAAAAATCGGGGTTAGACAGCTCTTGTGGGTAACCCCATGCTGGGGAAATACTCAAAGCGTGAGTGCATCAGAAACAAAGTGTGCCAGAGAAGGTTTAGAATTTACTCTGAAATGACATGCTGTCTTTTCTAGACTCTTCTCAATCTTTCTTTAGAAGCACTTGGAATTTATTGCAAAAATCTTTTGTAAATGGTTAGAGTTACAAACTTTATGAACTGGATGGTGTCTTTGTCAGAGAAGACATATTAATTAGTCTAATTAAACCTTTTTGAGGATTTTTAGCAGCTTTAATGCATATTTGTCTGGAGAATACCTGTTTTTTAAAAGGTATTTAGCCAGAAATAGGTTTGTGATACACAATGACACTGGCCAAATTGCCCTCCTCATAATTCATTATTTTAGCAAAGAAATTCTGCTACTGATATAAGTATCAATATCAATTTCTGCAGCAAACTGAGCTAAATCTGGAAAAGCACCAATTAACTCCATAGACACTATACAATATGTCAGTAAGGAAGCATCTTTGTGATGAGTCCCTTTCCAGTTAGTTTTTTAGACAAGAGAGCCTTGCTGAGGAATAGTTGTGATAAAACTAAAAACTTCTGTAGATGCTGTGTTACATTCTCATTTTCTTTACCAGACTTCTTAAAATGATGTATCTGACACAATAGACAACTATGTATTTAGGAAAGTTTATATAGGAATGTATCATTTTGCTCTATCAAGGCCTTTTAAAAGTGCTCCTTCACTTGCACAAAAACAGACAGTGATGGAATAGGTTGTACAGCCTGTGCAGTTCAAGGCTGTTCTGAAAATAAGCTTTGATTTTTACTTGTCAAAGCTTCATTTTCAGCATGATTTTGCTTTGTTTTTCTTTTATTTTCTTTTTTTTTTTTAAACTGATCCTTCTTCCTAAGACTCTCGACTCAGATTCAAGGATTCCTTAAAAACTGTCAGTGAATTATAGATGAGTAGAGAAAGCAATTCCAAATTGCTCTAGGGACCTGTAGCTTGCAGGTGGACACTAATGGCAAAATGGTCTGCTGGAGATGCTCTTGAAATGAATCTGACACATTAGCATGATAACACAAAGTATGAATCAACCATTTTCTGAGTATTTTTCCATGAGCTCTTTTGTTCTGTATGTTTATCTTCTCCTTGAGCCATGATAGTGAATATAGTTAAAGATATTCTTTAAAATACAAGTGAGAATTTCAGAGTATGGAACAGAGAGCTCTTGTGGCAATAAGAGACAGGTGAACTCTTGCAGCTTCATGCAGAGTGTTGGAAATTAAAGCAGCTTATCCCTTATGCTGTCTACAGAATATAAAAAGGTGTTTGTACTTTCCATTAGAGTAGGACAAATACCTCCACCAGTTTAGCATTTTCCAGCATCACTTGAAATCCTAAAGTGTCCTCTTTGTAATAATTTCAAACATCTGGCTAGAATAAAAAATCCCATAACATCTTTACTCTGCCTAGTTATATTCTGCAAGTCTAGTGACTGAACAAAGTCTAGATTGGAAGCCAGTAATTAGTGGAGTGGCCCAGAGTTCCAGTCCTGTTCAGTATCTTCAATAATGACCTGGATGATGGTGGAGCTGTTTGTCTCTGTAGAAACATGCTGCTTTGTGGAGTCTATTTGAGTATATGAATTGCTAGTTCTTAATGAGTTCCTAAGAGCAAAGGTGAGTGTAGGACTTGGGATAAATATCAGAAATTTTCCTCATCAGCTCTGGTTCCCAGTTGTGGGGGTTTTTGGTCAGGATTTGTCCAAGTTTAGAGCCAGTGTTTGAGGAGGTGGTCTCATAGTACTCCTGGGAACCATTCTGCTGTTGAGCCAGGCTTGCAAAAGGTGACTCCAAGTTACCCTGGTCCCTGCCAATCCACTGGACTGCTGAGCTTGTACAGTATTTCTTAAAAACACAGAAGCAAAACTGCCTTACATTCATGTACTAAAATACAAAACTGAATGAAAAGCTAAAGCCTTCCCTGAAGAGTGTTCTAAAACTTCTGCTAAGGATACAGGAGACACATTGGTGCTTATAAGTGGCTGCTCAAATCCTTTAAGGGGATGATATTACTAAGAATAACTCAGAGAAACACCCTTACAAAGAAAGGAATTTCAGGGAGGGAGGGAGGGAGGGAGGGAGGAAGGAAGGAAGGAAGGAAGGAAGGAAGGAAGGAAGGAAGGAAGGAAGGAAGGAAGGAANAGGAAGGAAGGAAGGAAGGAAGGAAGGAAGGAAGGAAGGAAGGAAGGAAGGAAGGAAGGAAGGAAGGAATGTGGTAGAGTTGATAAATTTCTAATGGAGACATTAAGTGAGGTGCTCTGTTTATATCTATTGTGGATCAACTGAGATTATGTATTTACTGGAGATTATAAATCAACTTTTTATTGGTTCCCTGAGACAGACACAACAGTATTTATTCATCCCTTTTCTGTACAGAACTCATTAAGTAATGCATGGGAAAACAGCTGTGTGTCTTCATGTTTGCAAATGAGTTTCAGTCCATTAAAGTTGTGCTGTGAGGCTTCAATTCCCAAAGTTGTAACAACATATGGCTGATGGGCCATTTGTAATATTGAAATGTTGCAGTTTTGCATTTGGGAAGGAGAACATCTTACAAGAGAGGAGTTGTCTGAAAGTGGAAATGTGGTTATGGAAATAAGAGCACTATGGAGATAGATATATAATTTACACTCTACAACGAACAAAATACTTAATTACAGAGCATCTAATGTTGGGATGAGAGTAGATCATCAGTGAGGACTGCTGCTCATAGAGATTGAAACAGTGCTCACCTGACTCTTGAGAAGATTTCTATGTAGCTGTTCCCTGCTTAATTAGGTCAGTTGGAAAAGCAGTAGACAAGCTTTCCTGGAAAGATATCCTTCAAAAGATGTGAAGGAAAGAAAGACATCAAAACACCAGGGAGGCTGACAGCAGTTGTTTATAATTTTCTCCTTATCCACTGAAACATAGTTAGCCTATGTAACTAAACTTAGAGCATTGTTTATACTGATATTTAAAATATGACATTCTGCTACTTGATCAGACTTTAAAAGGTGAGTTTTTTCACCTATTGTAGCTGACCTAATAACAAATAGTGTCTGTCTATAAAACACATCTTACCTTGTGTAAGTTGGACTCTGCTTCAAATGTTTAGGAGCGAATGAATATTTCAGATTTTCCTGTCTCCTTAGTGCTTGAGTATTTGATAATATGTACAAATCTGTTATTAAACAATAAATCTAAATTGTTTTCACCTGTGACTTCCTTCCAAGTGTGTTTCACACACTGGGGAGATAACCACCACTTAAACATTTTTGAAGGTTCTTAACCTTCAAGATTAACATTTCAGTTTTAGTTTCTATTATACATTGTAAAACTATCTATTATTGCAAATTCATGTCCTAATATGTAAATTTATCCTCTACAAATTGGGCATTAATGCCATGGTACATGGGTCAAACACTGTAGGATAGTATGCAGTCATCATATTGAGTAGGAGGGTGTGTTTTCTACTCTTGAGTGCCTTTGCTTTTGAAGCTACTGGCAAAAGAAAAAAAAATGGGAGGTATATTATTGATTAGTATTTTGAGGGAATTTTTTAAACTTGAAGTAAATGTCAAGTTAAAATTAATTTGGTTTTGATTTTTTAAAATCCAAACCAAATTTTTTTTGTCAGTAAAAAATGTTAAGATGAAATATTCAATAATTTCCTTTGTTTTTAAAACAGCACATGCACTTTGGGTGCTTTTATGTTTGTTTTTCTCTTAACCTTAATATACCTTAGTCTAACTTTCATAACTTCACTTTGGCAAATATAATCAAATAAAAAACATTTGCATCCAACGCAATTTCTAGAGGCCCT